AAAAAAAAAAAAAAAAAAAAAAAAAGAAAGATTCTAATATTTCAAAGAAGCTCTACATAAACTATGTCTCATAGTGAGGCTTTTGAAGAATAGTTTGTAACAGGAATTGAACCCAACGAAAGTTATGTAGTAAATGTTTCCCTGGAAACATCGGTAAATTGAATTCATATAATTGTTAGCCTAGTTAAGCTTTGCTAAACAGTATGAAATTTGAGATACTGACTTGGATACATTAATTTCATTTTATTAAATATATAAGTGTAGTAATTTAATTAAAATACAGAAACTTTATTTTTCTGATGAGTTTATTATGTTTATTTAAAAAATAGAAAAGCAAGTAATGTTTTTATTTGGCCTACTGATTTACTGTTTTTGCATGACGAGTACCTTGCTCTAGTTTCAGATTGGAGTAATGCCTTCACAGAGAATTTGGGTCCATTAATAGTGAAAATTAAAAAACATTCAACCTTTTCTGAGAAGGTTAAGGTAATAATTTTATAATTTCTTTCATTAGAACATATTCTATGTCACTGCAATGAATGAACACAAAAAACTCTGGTGGTTAAATATTTAATGAATTACAATATATACATGACCCTTGAATTCTGTATCTATACCTGTATGGCTTACTGCACAGAACCTCACATCTGAGTATATTAGTGCAGGGGCAGAGTTCTTTCAAGACATTGTGGACCATCCATAAATTTCTCCAAGTTGCATCGTAACAGTCATAATCAAAACAAATGCCCATAGTGAATAGGTAGGAATGAACTACACCAAGGTACTAAGACTACAGCAGGGTATCTAGCTAAATTTGAATGACTACACCCTGCCCCAGCTTCTAACAGTACATTATTGGCTGACAAAAAAACCAATAAAACAATCTGACTATGTCAGAGGAGATGGAGAGTTGAGATATAAGGGTATATGGTACTTTTCTACTTACTTTTGTAGTTACCTGCGTCTGCTTTTTATTGCTGTCTTGCCTTGAATATTGTTGAAAAGATACTCCGCCATTTGACTGTGTTCATTTCTAGCATTGTCAGCCTTCAAATATTAAAGACAAACACAATAACAACTAATTATTACTGTAATCAGATACCAGATGTATGGTTCATGCATAACAAATATTCAAAATATATTTCAATGAAAAATGTTTACATATATTTTACATTATTGTACGGTCTATAAATACTTTATTAAGTATCATTGTTTCAAATAAGAAAGATAACAATACAAAACAGAAAATAGCAGTTTTTATTAATGCATTGGTTCATGAAAGCAGATTAAATACATTTTTTGTTGGAATTTTTAACCTAAAGGGAACAGGTCAACCATGCTTTCTCATTGTGTCATCTTTGTATATTTGCATTTGTGTGTGAAGTTAAAATATTTGTTCTTAGAGGACGCCTTCGTCAATACTAGTTTTCTATCTTTAGAATTACAGTTGAACTTGCATAAATCGAATCCAAAATGGCATTGACAAACTGTTCGATAACCTGTTTTTGATAAAATTTGACTTGCACATCGTTAATTAATGGAAAACACAACAATTTATCATGTAAAAAAAGATCGACTTAGAAATTATTCGACTTAGGTAAGTTTAACTGTACACTGAAAACTTTATTAAAGCCAATATTGAGATTTTTATTACTTCATCCATTTCTCGAAACATCTCATCCACATCTTCTTGCATCTTGTTGCAATGAGTATAAAGATCATCTCCACCAATCACATGAGGCATATTCTGTTGTCCTGGATAGGATGCCTAGATGAAAAACATACATTAAATAAAAAATGGAAATCAACATCTCTGATTTGCTGTTGCATAACTTATCAACTATTATTAAAGATTCATTGTCTATGTTACAAATTAAATTCGTATATTAAATTTATTATCATTCAATTATAAAAAAATTGGATATTTGCCCATGGATTGGAATCAGTAGCAAATAAAATTGAAACTTAAAAAATTAATTCTATGAGCAATTAAATGTTGATTATACTACATCATTAAATTTACCTTTTTAAACCGCTTGAAGTTTTTAACATCCCCCAAGACTACTCTCTGATCATTAGCATCTTCACTCTGCCTGTTTGATTGTCGGCACACTAGTGAAGTTTCACAAGTTCTACTCAAGCTCACTGGAAGGTCTAAAAATTCTGGCTTTATATCAACTGGATTTAACTTGATTAAATTCTAGATCATGAAATGTAAATGAAACATTTTTGTGACATCTACTGATCACATGTATACTTCATTAAAGTGTTTTTAGCAGAGGCTTTGTATAATGGGGCTGCCTGAAAGCTTAATACCCTACGTTCAGTAATGAATAAAGGACTTTTACCTATATTTACTGTACATTATTAACTATTTTTTGTCCAACTAGTTTACATCGTTAACGTGTGTAATAACAAACAAAGAATATTATGGAATAAATTCACATTTTAAATTTTTGAAAACCTCTGGCTACATGCTCAATCTTAACCAAACACAACATTAAGATGGAATGAGGCCGCAAGCTAAATCACAACCAATGACATGGAGAACATAATGTTTTTTCTTTTTTTATATTTCAACAATTCATGATAAAGAGATACATATACATTGACAGTTGAAATAAGGCAAACATTTAAGAAACAGTGACAAAAAAAAGTATTTGTCTCAAACTTATTATTTTTAACAATGGAGAAAAAAGCAAGATGTTAACATTTTCCATAAAACATTACAGTTAAATGTGTGGGATTTCTAAACTTACGTTTCAGTCACATATGGATATGAAAGAAAGGTTCTCCCACCATCCTGGGCAAGATTCTCTCATTTGTGTACCGTATTTACCATTTGGTGTTAAGTTTTAAGCGCAATAGTTATCAAATCATTTAAAATTCAGACATTATGAAAGGTTGAATCCATGGCAGGCAAATACAAATATTAAATAGTTTAGCTTGTTTAGTACTGTTACTGACAAATGTTGAAAGATACCTGAGTTTGTACACTGAAGAATCCACTAGGTAATGGTCTTCTGTACACCGGTTGATTTTCTATACTGCTTGCTGTTGTCAGCGACATGACCTGGAAGAAATGATACATGATCTCGATAATTATAAAATAGTGAAACAATGTCTCCATTCATGCTTACGCAAAAGACAAACATGATGAGGTTCCCTATCATATGTAACTGGCTGGGCATGCTCTGAACAAATGTATGATCATTGGATATACAATCAATGCTAGGATCTGCTCAATGGAGGGGCTTTAAACCCACTTCATCCCCCATCCCCCTTTACTGGTGCCAGCACTGTATACAAATACAATCAATCCTACACCATGAAAACCTCCTCTTCTTTCCCTGGAGAATAGTATTCCCATTGCATCTGAATCTATTTCGAAGTTATTGTTCAAACAGCTGTTTTTATTTTTTATTCACTTTTGCATAGACCCAACACATTAGTAATTTCCACATAATTACTGTAAATAGCAGGCCAACGTACAAAAATAAAATAGCAGGGCCATCAGAAACACACCGGCTTTGGCCAGACCATGTTTTCTCAATTCTATTTGTCTGTACATACAGTTAAATCATAAACTACCTTCAACAAGCTGTCAATCAGTTGTTTCATTATTAGGGGACAAGTTTTTATATTCCGGCGTATAACCCACCAATTTTATACATTTATGTCATCATAATTATAGAATGATTGATTGAATAATAGATACACAGGCTCACTAAATATTTTACTATATCAAATTTGAATAAAACTTGATAAACATGCACACTAAGTATTTTATTATATCAAATTTGAATAAAACTTTACTAAAATGACTTTTAGTCAGAAAATTTAACATTCATATATACAGCTGTCTACACGGGAGGAATGGGGATTTCCCTCTGGCACGCTGCCCTAGGGAGTTGTTTTACAAGCATTTTTAGTTGTTTTTAATCGGCCGATAATGTTGAAATTATGTTACATTTTGTAAAAAATGATTACTCAATCTAAACGTAAGAAACCTCTGTTTATCTCTGTTTAAATTGGTTGGCCACTCATAACTAGACCTGTGCCAGGGCTGTATTTTATATTGTTAATTATTATAAATTACAATTTGTAAATACTGTACAGGTGCAGGTCTAGAAAGAATATTAGGTAGGTCCTATGTTTGTGTTTATTTAGTATTTATTAGTCACCATTATAATACTAGAATGATTGATTGAATAATAGATAAATATGCGCACTAAGTATTATTAAATTTGAATAAATTTAACTAAAATTGTCATGCTCGAAAATTTAACACAGTAAATATCGACTGTACGCGAGAAATTGTAATTTCCCTTGATACAACTGTAAATATTAATGCAAGATACAACTGCATGTTAACTTTGCGTGTGCTTCTTGTTATAACAAACACACGTGGCTTTGCAATGAGTTGTTTATAGGAAAATATTATCCTACCGAAAACACATGCAAAAAACAATATCAAGATCATGATCATGAACAAGTGACATCGTAACAACGACGAATGTGTTTGTAAAAAGGACCAAAATTGGAATCAGGTGCGATCCATGGACCATGGGTATGTAGCTGAGGTTGAATATCTTCTTAACCCTTATCGTGTCGTAGGCGCAATAGTGCGACAGTGAAAAATTTACCATTGAATGCCCTAGGCGCACTAGTGCGACACATCCAAGTATACGTGGATTTCGCCCTCTATACTGTCTACATATCATTCTGATGCTCATTTGTTTTTGCATCCGGGTTACTTACACTTTGAACTTCTTGAATAAACAAAAATCTTAATAACTTTTATTGAAAAATATTTTATAAATCAAACAAAATTTCAACTTTCAGCATGGCCGCGCAGCAGCGATATACTGTGGAACGAGCCATACACAATGTTTTTGATGATAATAGTGTGGATATAGACAGGAACATTTTTGTGGAATTATAATTGTGTTTCTGTAGGCTAGTGAGAGTGATGGCTATAATGGGGAAGAAGCAAATATTGCCGGTGGTGCAGCGGGGACGAGGTAGTACTAGGGCCAAGCCTAGGCCTAGACGAAGTTAGGCCTAGCCTATAATAATATAATAATAGGCCAAATTTGATGGCGGAAACGGAACATTTCCCTGATTGTAAAACAATTTATTTTACAAACCAGTATCACATACAGAATATATGTGCTATGAGGATTATTTTTTTTATAGTTTTTTGTTTAGGGTTCAATAAATATGTGAAAATTTCATTTAGAGAGAGATACTAATTTCTGCTGTGTAATTATGTAGTTTTGTAAAAGTAATTGGCATGCCAGAATGTCACGCACCAGCGATTTTCAGCATGATAAGGGTTAATGTTTTAACCATAACTCATTGGGAAAGATATTCGACCTCTGCTGCACACCCACAGCCCATGCATCGCACCTGATCCCAATCCCGAATACAAAGACTAATAGCCACAACGAATATGTTCTGTTTAGGATAAAAATTATCAAAAATGCACGGTAAAACAATTTACTGTACGGAAAACGGACATCGTATAGACCTAGTAGTACTGTACTAACATTTCTAGCTGCTTGGCTGCCTGCGAACAAAGAGCGAGTTCTAGGCCACCAAAGTGAAGTGTTCTGCTGATTGCCTACATACAGTGAGCCAGGCTTCAAAACAGGCTCGTTCGTAAATTAAAGGAAGTTTTTTCTGGGCCTACAAAATCGTACTTTAGGGACAACCGGACATCGCATACTAGGCCTAACATTTCCAGCTGATTGCCTGCCAGCAAAGAATTGTTATAACAATATAAACAAAAGTATAACTTTCAAATGAAAAACACAGAAGGGGGTATGCATTTATAGAGGGAAGAGACAATACGGTCATTGATTTATTGTATAATATATGTATTGGTGTTTCTTTCTTGCACTTTATTTATTCGTGGAGGAATAAGCAACTCCAGTCATCTGCTTTTGTTTGGCTTATTAACTATTATTACTATTTCACCATATTCGCACTTCGTGGAAATAGGCCTATTGTTATTATTGTATAATATATATGTATTCATGTTTCTTGCACTTTACTCAATTCATCTACTTATGGCAGTGATAAGAAATTAAATTTTGAAATATTTATCATTTTTGCAATAAACGTACATTTGTCTTACCTGTATTCACATGACTTAAAATAGGCCTACGAATTGTGATTTGGTCAATATCTTGAGTCATGCTACTACCTGCTGTGTCCAGATATCTTTTTGAGCCCACTATTTAGCATTATGTATCGGGCATACAGGACTTTATTAATCTCTTTTGTGAATGGGTTGTTTAACTATTTTGAGGGCTGGGGTGGATATCCTATCAGACCCCAACTAACTTTAAAAACCTGTGTCAATGGAAATGAGTAATGGGTATGCGGTATACCAACCAAATTTGTTAAAGAGGTGGGGGGGGGGGAGGCCAGATTACTTGAAAAATGCTTCTGACGCTATGAATAGTACTACTCCATACTTAAATATGAAGCTGAGGAAAATAGGACAGGTTGATATTTATTTGACATTTGGCCTTTTTTTTTTCTAACTGTGTGTTTTATATTAATCTTAAATTTTGTAAAATACTGTTTTTCTACAAGAAATGCTAATGCACTTGCCTCCAAATTAGGTTCAATCTTGACTCTTTTTCTCCACATTCCATTTTCATCATCACTACCATCAGCTTCTTTCCTCTTTGTTTTCATTGTAGTATTTATATCAGCTTGTAGCAAAACCTCTTGGCCCTTAGCATGTTTTTCTTCTGTACGTTTACCTGATGTCAGCATTTCCAAGACAACCTCTTGCTTCTTTATACTTTTTTCTTTGGTATTTTGCTCATCCGTTGATGTTACATCACTACAAATTTTCTGAATTGTTCCTGGCTTGTTTTG